TCCCCACATTCACCATAAACCCAGTCCAATCGTATCGTAATCCCTTGCTTTAACATTCGAACACCCCCTGCAGACGAATAAAATAACAAAATCTTAAAACTGCTTGTGTTCCAGCACCTTCAGGTCGATCCAGCCACTTGCCCCTCCGCAGGAGTTGACATAGAGTTGTCACTTCGTATTCCCACTAACGACACTAGTTTGTACGGGGGAATTCGTAGACTGCGCTTGTCTCGCATGCTTGTTGGCAGAGTTTCGATCATGTAAGTCTTTGGTACCTTCGTGAGGGAGCGAAGACCTTCACGAATTGTGCACCTGGAGCATCTTACCAGTATCATAGCCGCAGAGCTTGACTCGTTCGGGTCAACAGCGCAATTATTCCTATTTCAATACGGCCTTTCTGAACCGGGTCTTTTTTTTTGAAGGCCGTAGACCCTCAAGCGAAGAGGATCTGACCGTTCCTAAATATAGCCGATGGTCGACCACAGAAAATGCATTGTAGAATAAATGTTGCGTCTGGTCGTCTTTGACCGCACTATGGTTCAGTAGAAAATAAGAAATGCCTGACGAACACGGCTCTCTTCTTTTTTCATTCTAAATTCGAAGAAAACGACTGGTTGTGATTTCGTTATATAACTTACTAGACGTAGCGATCTCTCTACAGCATGCGTGAACATGGATAGATATCTCTGGAGTTTTTGCGCAAGATCCAAGAAAATACGTAGGAACTTCTATGGCAAACTCGTATGTATTAGGTTGGCAAAAAAGTCCTGCGACACTTTTCCAATTTTTTGATTTTAATTTTATCTTTTTTGTTTACAACTCCTGACCGGTCTTATATCTACCATGAGTGTCCACCACTTGTCTTCAACGCTCAGAAAATTTCTTGATGCTCCTTTGCCAAAACCCAGCGGAGTGCGGGTCGAGAAAGGAGGCGACCTCACTTTCGAGTTGGAGTTGATCGTCTAATTATTTCGTCATCAAGATGATGATTTAAGGTCCAGGATAGGTGGCAGTCATTTATAGCTCGACCAGGGGAATACGCTAAGAGAGGTAAGAAATCTTGCCGCAGCTCCAGAATTTCTTACCGGGCTCATTTCGGATCATGGTGATTCGCAATGTCATGAAAGAAATAAATATTGTCGCGGTACGAGGGCTCCTGACGAGCTGCCTCGGCCAGCTTCTGGAGTTCCGCAGCCTAGACCTCTACCTACACAATGGTGCCCATAACGAAGAATTTGTAGTGGAGCTTCCGTAAGAGCCCTACCTGTAATGGAGTGTAGGGACGCTGCTGGCTTCTTATAAAAATATCAAAAGATCGAAAGCGCTGGTAAAGGTGAAACACGCTGTAGCGGTGAACGACATGCCTATTGAAGCTATTGCAGATAGTGTTGGTCTTTGACACGAATCCATAGTTATGGAGACATTTGTACTAGACAGTGACTCGGAGTATGGATTTACTAGTGGTCGAGGTTTTTTGAATTTTCTTGGATAACTACTGACTGCAGCACTTATATCCACCTCGTGGATTAAAGCCTCGAGAATGCTCTACCATTTGTTAGTCATAAATGTTACCTATGAATTTTTCAGAAAAAAAGAAAATTTTATAAAGAGTGTCGCAGGACTTTCTTGCCAACCTAATACTTGAGCGCAGGGCCATGGAGATATAGGGCCAACATGATGAGATAGGGGTCTTAGCACCGAAATTTTTTAGGCGCTTTCCATATAACAGCAATACTTAACACTACCAGCGGATCCTGATTTATTTCGCTAGAAATCCCAGTTTGCTAGAACTTCTAAAGGTAAAACTCAGTTGACAATTGTCTGAATTGTTTTTCTGCTTACCTGTGTGAGCTTTGTATGATTTTGGAAGAATACAATTGTGCATGGAAAGCGCTACAACCGTGTCGTTGACAAGGAAGTAGTCGCTGGCGACACGAAGTTGAAAAACATTGGTTAGTTGATGATCTCGAATAGGGATAGTGAATACCAAATGTTGCGGCTCAACGGCTTTCACCTAGACAGGGTCATTGACATTTGTGTCAACATGTAATTTCGATCAAACATTCAACCTTTTTCTTATTGATCGCAATTTTTTCTTGGTGGATGATTAAGTTCTCATCTATATTCTCCAACGTAAGCCAGAAGGACTGAGCTCCAGTCTTCCCTAAGAAGCGATCATTCCAGAAGAAAGCAGGCGTTAGCGTGGCCGTCACTTGCATGATAGTGCTGAAAGAATTGCAAAAAAAAAATCAGCAAAATGATCCCTGAAAAGGTTATTAAAGCTTACTAAGTGATCGGTTTGAGAACGGCCTCAACTTCCAACCGTGGAAGCATACGCATCGTCTGATAGAGCTTTTCTCCATCACAGCTGAACATATAACCTGTAATAAAAATGAATAATGAGGTCAGCATCTTTGAACTGCATGTTGTGAAAGACGGTAGCAAAAAATACTAAAGTGACAACAAGCGATTTGAAAGACTTACCTAACTCCTTTGCTGTGAGATCCAAGAGCTGGGACTCTGTGAGCTTTCGCCGTTCAACTTTTTCAATGAGATCTATTCGAAGGAATTCGTCAAGCTGCCTGAAACAAAGAAACATGAACAGATAAAGGATAACATATCTTAACCATATTTTTGTGCCAATGGAGATAGCTCTCAGAGGCTGACAGTAGATCACAACTATTTGCATCTTTAACCAGCAACCCCCGTTGAATCCACACTGAGAAATGCAGTAAACCCTGACACATTAACACATTGACGACATCGCATGTTTTGGCATTTTGCACCTCGTGGGACAGGAGCGATTTTGCGAGCGCGCCGTCCTCACCTTACTTCCGCTTATTTTTTGTTTAAAATGCACAACAACTTGAATCTCATAGGAATTATTTCGGCAAGGATGAAAGCATAAAGGTTAACTATATAAATAGCAGTAGATTTTTGTTTAGAAGAACGCATAATGACCACGAAGAAGCAAAAACATCACTTTCGCTGCGAATGAAGTTAAAAGCATTTATACCTAAGTTCTTCCATCAAATACAAATATCTTGAAACTCACAGAGTTTTGTATTAACTGCTTCTACAATCTTTCATATGAATGTTTACGACAGTGAAAGGAATACTAGGAAAGAATTGAAATGAAAGTTTTGTGCGTTCAGAAAATCTTTGCTAAATCAAGGGATATTTGACCACTCTGGCTGCCATGTGGTTTATAGTTATGCTAATGTATTATCTATAGAATGAATACAAAAAACCAGGGAAGAAGGAGCGCAAGCATTCGATGTTGTGTGGAAATCCACTTGAAGAGGCCAGGGCTATGTTTGGGGTGCTTGGGACATGAGCGAGAAAGTATCAAATAGTTCCATCACCTGAGAGGAACTTGTTCACAATGGAAGCATGCAGTGAAGCTTACGTTATCGACATGCCAGGGGAATGGGTGAATTTGCCAGGATAGAGGACCCACTCAGCAAGGCATTTTCTAAACGAGCGTTGCTTTCTGCAAAAACCCATAAGTCGCTTCCGGTGCGCGAAGAGAGCAAAAAAAACAAGTAATTACAGAGGAGTAATGTTCACAGCCACGAGTAGGGATCAGGGTGAATATCGGTCGAGGAAATCCTCGACAGGGGGGTCGTACCTGTTGGGCTGGTCCATGGGGGGTCGTACTCTTGGGGGTCAGTAACAGAAGTGGTATCATGGTGCAGATAGGTAATAGGGTATAGCGTCCTCGACGTTTACTCGACGAAATTTGAGAGACCCTATCTTTCTGCATGGAAGGCTTTCAGAGCAATTTCAATACTTCTTGGAAACGCGAAATCCAGCTCTATCTAACCCTACCTCAAACTGCTTCAAAGGTTATGAAATGGAGGAATGCAACCTTTTCATCGAGGGTGTAGATTTCGACGGTTTTTTTTCGGGATTTCAGCAAATCTGACCCAGTGACAATCGCGTACCGCAGCGGCCGTTGAATCGGCCGTTGATTGATACACTCGGCTGTTTCGATATACTCAAGCAGGAATAAGATTAAATCGCAACCCCGTGCCTTCAGGATTTCTGTGCATTTCTGAACGAACCTGACTTTGAGGTCACACAAAGTTAATGCCTCTTTCCTCGAGTCGATATTTCAGTAAATACACAAAAGTGTGCAGCGATGGGCAGTGAATTTCGTATAA